CAATTCATGATCTTAGCTCAGAGAGCCGAGAAGCGATCAACACTATTTCAGTTCATCGAAATCTCAAATAAAGTAAGTAAGAAGTTAGCTGAAATACTTATCGAATTGTTGATATCTGCATAAATATCAACTGAAGTGTTTCCAGTTATTCGGTCTTTTGTTCCAGTAGCATGAATGAGTCAATGATTCGATTTTTCGTGATTTGAATTTCACCAGTTGACTTTTTCAATTATTATTATTATTTTTTTCTTCAAATAATTATCGCCCTAGCTCTCTCTCTTCAAGCCTTCAGCTGTCACTCTCTTGATTAGTGCTTGAAATCAAAGCTGCTTTCACTGTTCAATATTCGTTGAACCTTCTAGAAGACACTTTGTGTACATCCGTTAATTCGAACAAAGTTTTTGAGATAAACCTTCCCACGCCGACATTTTTCTATAGACAGATAAGGAGTTGTACAAGATGTGGTGGATAGTGACTAGCAGTGGAATCCAGGATGTGCATTTATTTCGTCGTCCTATTTGGAATTCATCATCAACTGGATGTAACTAACTGCATTTCTCAGTGGGCGGTGGTGTTCCTTCATGAGGCTCGAACCCAGTAGCCATCATTTCAAATTCCAAAGTACTACCCACCATACCACCTGGGTCATGAGAACCACCCCCTTTTGCAGCAGGCACCAATTATTATTTGTTTTTAAGTTGACTTCCATTTTCCCGTTGACTGATTGGATCAATAATTCCCGCCTAAGTGGTCTAGTGGATAACGCTTTGGCGTTTGAAATGATCGGTACTGGGTCCGAGTCTGTGCGGAAACACCATCACTCACTGGGGAATGCAAGTACATCCAGTTGACGACGAGCTCCAAATAGGATGACGAAATGTGCATCCTGGATTCCTGTGCTAGTCACCATCCACCAAAATTACTTTCAGTTAATCCTCAGACATCGTTGAAACATCCGTACTAGTAGCCAAACGTGTCAACAGACGCCGAACAGGTACGAGGTATTAATACAAGTAACGTTTTCTGGTTCGGCCACCTACCTGTTCTGACAGATTGTCATTATTGTATTTCTGCTAAGCAGAGGTCTGTCATGTGCAATTTTCAGTTGAATGCATGATGTACATTTTGCAGTGCCCTACTGACTTTCTCTCTTGATGAAATAATTTACTGTTGAGTACAGGTAGGTCGGTGAATAAGTTAATGTCCTTCTTTATATCTTGAAAATGATACCAGTGGTTAGAAATCAGTGGTTATTTTACGCGCAGATATGATAGTCAATTATGATATTCTATTAGTTAGAATTAAATTCTGAAAGAACTGCCGCTAAATTTTTACTTAGTATATTCACACACTGTTGACTTCTACTTTAATAAGTCAGACAAATACTTCATGGAAATCCTTATTTTTCGCACGATTCCCCCTCGCAGCTATTCTTCCATGCCAGGAATGGGGTTCGAACCCAGGACCTTCTGGTTACAAGGCGAGCTCGTACTGATGAAGAGTCCCAAACTAGGACGAAACAGCTGCCCAGTACTCCCAGGTGGTTTTCCAATGGTTCTCTGACTAATGTCAACTCATGATGAAAATCCTGTAACCAATCAAATCCCTACAAACCAACACTTAAACTTTTAAAAGTATTTATTAAATATGACAAAGTAAACGAAAACACTGTAAAATACATCAAAAGTGAGATGATAACTTCACACGTCCAATTTCATTGTTCAACGTGCATCGGCGGTACAGAGGTGAAATGCTCGCTAACCACCACACACACACGTGGTCAAGGGTTCACAATTCCCGTCTGACGCACTGCCAACCCTCGCCTAGCCTGGTAGTAAGCCCAGGAAAAGGGAAGGTTGAGTGGGTGAGGCTAACAACCTCCCACCCTTCAAACCCTTAAGCTTTAAAATCTATGCTCCACTCAGAACGTGAAGGAATAAACTAAGTAAGACAAGTAAGTATTGTTCAACGTACCAGTTTATGAGATACAAGTGTTTCTAATAAATCCTGAAAATTCTTTTGTACTGTAAGCAGATAAGAATTCTGTTTATGATAATACAGTTGATTCATCATTGATAAACTGCCCAGGGAACAGATCCCTTCTTGTACTAGAAAAGTGATATACTGGCAAATAATAAGGTATTGGTTAGAGGTGGAATAATTTTTTACGCTTGACGACAGCCTTTGCATTAAAGTGGTTAAACAGTCGAATAGAAATTCACGTCCTTTTATAGCGTCTATATGAAACACCGATGATGATGGTGATGATGATGATGACGTTGATTTGTTGAGTTGATTCTTTGTCGATTCTTTGTCAAAATTTATTAATAATTCTGTTACCAACATAAGTGGATGTTCCACAGAATTGAACATTAGTCGTTCAATTGAATTGCATACATATATCTAGAAAAATAAATGCAAGGAAGCAACACACAAAAAACAAAAACAAAAGTAATCAAGCAGCGTGAGAGAATTACTAATAAACTAATAGAGAAGATTTGTAGCTCAGGTGAATGATTTGCAATTAGTAGTGTTCTCTGAGCTGTATGGTTTAGTTGCGGAGCTTTCGTCGTTCTGCTGGACAACATCTTCAGCGCGATTTTTAGCATAAAGTGAAATGATTTAAATTTCTTTATAAGTGATATAATTGCGTCTCCCGGTGACCATCTTTACATTGACTCTCATTGACTCTGATTTTAAACTTTCTCGTCGCATGACTTACTTTTTATTAGTTGGTAAATTTGGTCTATATTAACATGTCCGTTAATCGCATATTCGTTTGAGTACCAGGCTTCCAGAAATTCTCTAACACTTTTGATGTCACACCATTATATACTTCAATTAGTGCAAAACTAGTAACAGAAGCTATGCAACCATTACTCTGCAGTGATGAAAACATAAAAAACGCGATCTTCAAATTCAGTAGAGCTCATAGAATTATCTCTTACAACATACTTCCAATTCAATACTCAAATATACGAATAGATAAAAGGAATACTAATGGGATCGATTTGGAAACTACTTCGCTACTACAGTCTGCAACCGACAATTATACATCTCATCCAACAGCTGTACGACAATGCTGCATGCCAAGTAATCCACAACGGGAAACTTACGGAACCCTTCGAAGTGAGGACAGGAGTAAGACAAGCTGGCTGCCTACTATCACCAATGATTTTTCTGATTGCAGTAGACTAGATAATGCGACAAACAGCGGGCAATGAGGAAACAGGCATAAAATAGACTCACACAAAGACAGACTTGGAGGATCTGGACTTCGCCGATGATATATGTCTGATTTCCCACAAACTGGAAGATATGCAAGCGAAAAGCAACAAGTTGGCAGAAGAAGCATCAAAGATAGGACTCCAAGTAAACGTAGAGAAAACAGAGGTGATGAAGATTCCTGGACAACAGCAACAGCAACAACAACAGACAACAATCAGCATAAATGGAAGGAACCTGAAAGAAACAACCTCTTTCACCTACCTGGGAAGCATCGTTTCAACTACAGGCGGAACTGACGAGGATATCAAAGCAAGAATCGGGAAAGCAAGACAAGCTTTCATTACTCTCAAGTCTGTGTGGAGGTCAACACTCAGAACTCAGCATCAAAAATAAGATCCGGATTTTCAACTCCAATGTGAAGTCAGTCAGTGCTACTATACGGATCAGAGACTTGCACTGTGCGTCATAAAGAGCATCTCAAACAAACTACAAACCTTCATTAACAGTTGTCTTCGCTCAATACTCAATATCAGATGGCCGGTCAGAAAAGATCAGCAACAGAGATCTCTGGCAATGAGCGAACCAACCAGGAACCGATTGTGAAACAAATAGGCAGGAAGAAATGGAGATGGATTGGCTAGCCATACTCTGAGGAAACCATCAAGTGACATCACTAGACAAGCCATTGCTCGAGTGGAACCCGAAAGGGAAGCGGCGAGTTGGTCGTTAGTGCAAGGGTGACTTTGAGGAGGTCATGTGAAGAGGAGATGAAAACGTGTGGGCAGACTTGGAGCCAGGTGAAGACTCTAGCAGAGAACCGGACGCAATGGAGACGCACGGCTGAAGTCCTATGTTCCTCTAGGAATTAAAGGAAACAATAATAATAATAATGGGATCGATCATATCAGGATTAATAGTTGAAGCCGTCATGCAGAGATTAGAATCAATAGCTCTAACCATAATTAGACTCAAAGTCTAGGTACGTTACGTTGATGATACATTTGTAATAATTAAAAGAAATGATTTGGAATATACCCATAAATTAATTAACAACATGTTTGAAGACATCAAATTCAAAAGAGAAGAACAACTAGATAACAGCCATTCCAATCACTTCATTCAATATTGTGCAAACCGAAAGATCCAACAGAAAAAGGAAATAAAATTAATACCATTTACAAAATAAATTGTATGAACTGTAACATATATTACATCGGCCAAACTGGGCGTCCCCTTCGAATCAGAATCCAGGAACACAAATAAGCTGTGAAAAGATATGATATATATTCTTTCATATCAATGCATGTAGATAGTTATGGACATCAGTTTAATTGGGATAATGTCGAAATTTTAACCAGGGGAAACACCAAAAGTGCTAGAGATTTCCTAGAAGCCTGGTAGTCAAGCGAATATGCGATTAACAAACATGTTAATATAGATTAAATCTACCAAGTAACAAAAAGTAAATCGTGTGACGAGAAAGTTTAAAATCAGAGTCAATAAAACTTATCAGTACAGATGTAAGGATGGTTACCAGGAGATGCAATTCTACCATTCATGGAAAATTTAAATCAGTTCACTTTATGCTAAAAATTGAGCTGAAGATGTCCAGCAGAACGAAGAAAGTTCCGCAACTAAACCAACCAACTCAGAGAACACTACTAATTGCAGAACTACTGAAAATTAGTACAGTGTCACTTGGCCAATGTGATATTATCATACTAGAAGAGTCAGCTTGAAGGGATTTGATTTGTTCCAAGTTTGGTCATGAATTGATATCAGTTAGAGAACTAATGAAAACCAGCAGGGAAGTACTGGACAGCTGTCTCGTTCTGGTGTGTGATTCATCGACAGTACGAACTAACTGCCATGGTTCGAAACAACGACCTCACAGTTACAACCTTGTAGACCATTTAGCCACTGGGGGAACCCTTCTCAAATGACCCGAGAATTCCAACCTCTACCAATTCGCCATTTTAGCGCGACTGACACCAGCCAATGTCATCGTTGGCGATTATTTATCCTCACACACGACCTGGTGGATGACCCCACCGGTTACATCTTCTCACTAGAACTTCAGGTAACTTTGTCCTGTAGTCAGCCAGTCAATGGCGAGCACCAGATTGATTTTCAAGAGTTAGTTTGTGGGGATTTGATTTGTTTCACGTTTGATCACAGAAGAGTCCCAGACTAGGACGAAACAGATATCAAGTACTCCCTGTGACTGGATTTCAATGGTTCTCTAACTGATATAAATCCGGAATCAAACTTCGGACGAAATTAATTCAAACACGTGAAGCGAAATAATTGATGCATTTAGTTTCTTCAACCCATGTATTTAAATAACTGGATCAGTTCAAGTCAATGAATTATTTACTGGATATTTGAAATTAGAGAAGCGTTCATTTAACATACCGTACTATAGTTAAAGTCTACAATTAGACAACCGAACAGCATAAACTTAATGTTATCCGTTTTCATACACAATTATGGTGTTACAGCGCTCCCAACGATCAACTTAGAATGAACTTTTATCTTTCACTTTAGATGGAAATATAGTCTGTTTTGATTCCAACAACGGGTAGGCCATAGGACAGCTGCTTGACGTCGGTCACACACACACAGCTTGTTTGAATTGATTTTTGGAGTTGTGTCCGTGTTAATATCTTACTGCTGGCTACGGATCGCCTCAAGGTAAGTTGAGATGCATAATTTGTGCGGTTAACCTCTTCGTAACCCCTCCCCGTCCCTAGAGTGGAGAGACAGCATAGCTAGGTGGCTCGCTGATCATCCAAGGGAAACACCTTACCGTTGTTATATCCCTATTCGCCAGCAGCAGTACAACTTCGCCCACACCCACCCACTCCCCAACATAGTCTAAACTAATCACAATATGACGGTAACTGCTTTTAGTCTAATCGCTATCCAAACAATGTTACTGACATGGTACGACCTATAGGGATATTAGTTCCAGCCAGTGTAGCTTGTTGTATCATTGTAAAATGCAAGCCAGACCACCACATCAATGCAGCAGCTGTCGGTAGGGACTAATACTTTCAACATTGTTTGACTGAAGTATATGCATACATACGTCATACACCAACCATACAACAATTCCGGAGAAAATCAGGAAGCAAATCTAGCTATAGACGACTCAAGTAGTGTTCTTCTAGCCCAAAAAATAATTTGTGAGTTAACAATATCCACTCCTAGCTTAGAAATAAGGAGTGAAGTGGTAGAGCATGTTGACCGCTTCACTTATTTGGGAAGTTGCATCAGCCAACGCCAACGGGTTGATCGCTGACGAAATCTCAGCACGGATACAGAGGGCTAGTTTTGCATATGGCAGTTTACGTTGTCCCTGGCGTAGAGGTGATATCTGGTTATCGACCAAAGGGCATGTGTACTGCTCAGCAGTCCGCTCTGTCCTCCATTATGGCTGTGAGACATGGCCATTGAGAGTGGAAGACATGAAAAGACTGGCTAGCTAGTTGTATTTGATCATAGGTGCCTGTGTTCTATCTCCCGTGTGAAGTGGTATAATAGGGTGAGCAATATTGACGTTAGGCACCGGTCGAGTGCTAGGTAAGGAGGGGAAATCAATCGACGAGGCTGTGAAGCTACATCGACTGAGATGGTTAGGACATGTGTTACGTATGCCTAGTCATCGCCTTCCTCGACCAGCGGGCAATGTTAGCTGACTTAGAGTCAGGCTGGAAAAGAGCTAGCGGCTGTCAAACCAAAACATGGCTTCATCAGTCAATGAAATCCACAACAGTTAGTTTAAGCCAGCCACGTAGGAAGGTGTAGACTTCCTGGTTGGGGTCCTCGGGACGGTAAAAACCAATGAAGGCTGGAGACAATCAGTGATATGGCTCAAAATCGTTCTCAATGGCTGGCGCAGAAGCATCCACTCCTTGTGACTTATAATTTCCAATGAAACTATATTGCTCTTCGTTATTACTATTCCTTTTGTCTCATATCCCTGTCTACTGTCTCTATTTTGCATTTCTTCTACTTTCTTCTCTTGCTTTGTGTGCTACATGGAGTGTGGCGACTTGAACTGCTGCACATCAATACAAAGTTCTATGTTGAAAACAGACAGAATATCCACTCCACTTTATGGTAAAGATACTTACAGGCTAGTTTAAAGAACAATAAAATTTAAGGGGGAAAACATTATTACTTTACTCACAAGTTTTGTCACATACCTTAGTGAAAAGTTGGTGTACAGCAGCATTGAAATCTGATATTTTATCATCATCATCATCATCAAGGGACGACAACTTAGCCTGTTTTGTATGCTTTGTAGATTGTGCAACCCCCGTATTGCTTGTATCAGTTGAATTCATCAGTAAATTATTATTATTATAAGCATTCAACAGTTTTAAACATAAATTCTCTAACTTGTGACGAACTACTAAACTAATCGGAATATATGCATTAGAATTAGAAGAATCATCATCATTCACAGGAATTAATCCTTTGAGTAGAATTTCATACAGGTGGTCTTCAATTGTGAGTGGTTGTTTTGTATCAGAAGACTTCTCTGATTTGACACTGTCAACAGAATTCCATATTTGAGTCCAAAATATATTTATTACTTGATTTTTATTCACTACTTCTAATGATGAAGAACACTTTTCTAGTTCTGTACAAAAATATTGTAAAAATGCATCATCATCATCGTCAGATTGAGGAATTGAGGCGTTGTCTGAAATGTGTGCTGCGGCAGGCGTATATGATAAACATGCAGTTAAGTAGGCCTGTACTAATTTGGGTGTAGCTCCAGTCTCATTCAGGTAAGTAAACTAGAAAAGGAAACGGAAACAGAAAAATAAATATTGATTGAAATAAAGATTCATAAAAATAATTACAGATTGAAATAATAGAGAAGATTTGTAGCTCAGGTGGATGATTTGCAATTAATAGTGTTCTCTGAGCTGGTTGGTTTAGTTGTGGAGCTTTCATCGTCCCCCTTCTGGACAACATCTTCAGCGCAATATTTAGCATAAAGTGAAATGATTCAAATTTCTTCATGAGTGATATAATTGCGTCTCCCGGTAACCATCTTTGCATATGTATTGACCATTTTCTATTGACTTGGATTTTAAACTTTCTGGTCACCTGATTTACTTTTTATTAGTTGGTATATTTCGTCTATGTTAACGTGTTTGTTAATTGCATTTTCGTTTGAGTACCAGGCTTCTAGGATTTCCCTGGCACTTCTAGTGTTTCCTCTGTCTAAGATTTCGACATTATCCCAATCAAATTGATGACCATAATTGTCTATATGCATTGATACTAAAGAATACATATCGTGTCTTTTCACGGCTGATTTGTGTTCTTGGATTCTAATTCGATGGAGACGCCCACTTTGGCTGATGTGATGCTTGTTGCAGTTCATACACGCAATTTATTTTGTAAATGGTATTAATTTTATCCCCTCTTTCTGTGGGATCTTTCGGTTTGCATAATATCGAATTAAGCGATTTGACTGGCTTGTGTGCTATATCTATATCAAACGGTTTCAGTATTCTAGCTGTTATTTCAGAGATATCAGCCGTGAAAAGACACGATATGTATTCTTTATTATCAATGCATATAGATAATTATGGACATCAGTTTGATTGGGATAATGTCAAAATCTTAGACAGAGGAAACACGAAAAGTGCAATCATGGAATTCCTAGAAGCCTGGTACTCAAACGAAAATGCAATTAACAAACACGTTAACAGAGACGAAATATACCAACTAATAAAAAGTAAATCAGGTGACCAGAAAGTTTAAAATCCAAGTCAATAGAAAATGGTCAATACATATGCAAAGATGGTTACCGGGAGACGCAGTTATATCACTCATGAAGAAATTTGAATCATTTCACTTTATGCTAAATATTGCGCTGAAGATGTTGTCCAGAAGGGGGACGATGAAAGCTCCACAACTAAACCAACCAGCTCAGAGAACACTATTAATTGCAAATAATTACAGATTATTAGTTCAATAAGTATTTAATGAGATAAGCATTGACAACCATATAAAATTACAAGTTTATTGTTATATTATACTATAATTCTTTATTCAAGAGTTAGTTGATAGGGGTTTGATTTACTTCATGTTTAACCAAGGATTGATATCAGGGGTTCTCTAACTGATATGAATCCGCCGTCAAACTTGAAAAAATAAATCAAATCCCTACAAACTAACTCTTGAAACTCAATCTGGTGCTCACCATTGACTGGCTGACTACAGGACAAAGTTACTTGGAGTTCTAGTGAGAAGTCGTAACCAGTGGAGTCGTCCACCAGGTCGTGTGTGAGGACAATAATCGCCAACGATGATATTGGCTGGTGTCAGTCACGCTGAAATCATCACGACTTGGTAGAAGTTGGAATTCATGGGTCATTTGAAAAGGATCCCCCAGTGGCTGAATGGTCTACGAGCTCGCCTTGTAACCCGCAGGTCCTTGTTTCGACATCCGGTGGGTTACTAGTGTAGAAGAGTCCGAAACTAGGACGAGACAGCTGTCTAGTACTTCCCCGCTGACTTTCAATGGTTCTCTGATATTAATCCGTTGTCAAACTTGCATATTATAAGTCCTAAAGTTCGAACTCGATCAATAGTTTGCAAATACTTCAATTTTTTTTGTTAGAACTAGACAGTTAGTTTGATGTAAATTAAAACAACAGACCTGACTACTGCGATGTCAATTATCCTGTCACTATATAATTTTATACATATAAATACCTGAAAAGCTTTTGATCCTTTGCAAAAGCTTAAGACTAAGGTGCCTGAAGACGCTGAGTGTAAAGTGCTTGACTCTATACAATTGAAGTGCACATTTCCCACGATAAATAAATTACAGCTACTCATCGATAAAAAGTTTTTTCACGAAATAGCGCGACCACTTAGCAATGTCTTCGATGGGTAACTGTCCTCACTTTCGACCTGCTGTGCCCTACAGGTCAAGACTTCCCACTAGAACTCCACGTAACTGCCTGAATAGGGCCAATAGCTAGTGAGCATCACATCAATATTTCAAGTATTGGTTTGTAGGGATTTTGTTTGATTGGTTGGAGAATTTCATCATGAGCTGACATATCAGTTAGAGAACCATTGGAAGACCTGCATGGAGTACTGAATAGCTGTTTCGTCCTAGTTCGGGGCTCTTCAGCAGTACGTGCCCACCGGGGTTCGAACTCACGACTCTCTGGTTACAAGGCGAGCTCGTAGACACTCGGACCCAATCCAATGTGGTGAATTGGAAGAAGTTGGAATTCGTGGGCCATTGGATCGGGTCACAGTGGCTTAATGGTCAACGAGCTCACCTTGTAACCAGAAAGTCCTGAGTTCGAGCCCCGGTGGGCACGTACTGATGAAGAGCCCCGAACTAGGACGAAACAGCTGTTCAGTACTCCATGCAGGTCTTCCAATGGTTCTCTAACTGATGTGTCAGCTCATGATGAAATCCTCCAACCAATCAAACAAAATCCCTTCAAACCAATACTTGAAAAAAATTTTTCGCTGATAACATATGTTCATCATCAATTAGTGTTCATATGTTACGAAACTGCTCTCCAAATAATTTTATTTTTTCACTCTTATGACTATAAAATTTCTCAAATTTTGATACACATACATAATGCAGATCTTGTTGAATAATGTTCATAGGCTTCAATTTGATTAATTCAGTCACAACCTCAGTGAGACAGTAATGTTTTGCATAGTTCTTTCAAACCCTAACACTTTATTTTCCTCGTATAGAATTCAACAAAGACATTGTTCTATGAAAATAATTAATTACTCAAGGATCAGTGATCTCAAATTCTTAATAACTGTGACATCAGACAAACGATCTGTTTACCACAAAGACCCCTTTCATACGGTGGATGCTCAGTACTGCGTTGGGGACTATGAACTACACTCATTGTGTGAAGGATAATGATGCTACTCAGTTGCCCAAGCTGAAGTGGAACTCGAACCAGGAATCCACTGATCGAAAGTCTTGTGCCTAAGCCAATGAACCACATCTCTAAGAGTGGAAAGACAAGCATTAAAGTAAGCATCATCTAACTTGAACACTAAACTGTCATAAGGAGAACAGTAACGTTTGCATCAGTAATTCAAAACATTACTTTTATAAATGTATAGATAAGAATCATTTCGAAATAACTATGTACTTAACATACATTTTGAGATTGCATTTCATTGAGGGTTTTTTGAAGAAGCTCTTGTGATCGATGAAACTCCTGTTGTTGAAAAGCATAACGTCCCAGTACAAAATTCAGTGATGCAGAAAGATAACTTCTGGAAAGAGGTTCTGAATTCTGTAAAACAAAATCTGACAAGTTTGAATTTTGGTCTTCTTGATTTGATAGCTCAGTAAAAACAGAAAATATCGACTCTGTTGTTGAAAATACTGATGAAAGAGGTCTGGCTATACTGATATCTTCTAACAGATCATTGATCTCATTCAACTGATTTACCGACTCTTGTATACGTGTAAGAATAACACCAACTTCAACACGATTATCAGCAAAAAATGTTACCTCGGGTACTTCAGTTAAACCAGAAACAATTGGAGTAAGATTTCGAAACGGTTGCGGCAACATACTTGATGTAAGAGAAACCTAAATAATATTTTACATTATAAAAATGAGTGAACGTACATGAAGGCACCAAATATGGTAAGACATTATACCATAAATTGTTACAGGATTCAACTGAGACCATGTGAAATAACCATACGGATTTATGATGAAAATATTTTCTTTATTTATTGCCTGTTCAAATTGTGGTTGAAGAATTTCAGAAAATTTTGCAGTATACGTGACCAACACTCTATACAAACGTGCATACAGCTTTGTAGGCATCTCTGACACTACTCGAAACAAGTTTAAACTGAATTTTAGATTTGCAGCAATCTGTAAGGACAGTATATCCAACACTTTTGACTTTTTAAACAATTTTGATGACTCTGTGAATACGTCGTCTGGATGTACTGCCTCATTTTCTGTAGAGAAGTTGTCTGAGGAACCATTTTCAGAATTATTGAGATTGGTTTTTCTCTCGCTAATTTCAGCTTGTGATAAGGCTTGTTTAAGTAGTTCCAATTTGTGTGATACGGTTAGTTCTTCAATATCCAGCGCTAATTTAGTTGGTTGAGCGAGATAATATAGCCAATTTCGATCCATATCATCAGATCTCTTCATTTTCAAGCCTAAAAGAGCATCACAATAATGTTAAATTAAAGATATTGAAAGTAAATAAAGGAAGAGAATATTGATTACTTTTATGCACGTCGGAAAAACGACTTAAAAAGTTGTATCAACATTGACAAGAGTGGCCAAGCGATCAATTATAAAATACTAGTCAATATATATATATATATATATATATATATATATATATATATATATATATATTGAAATAACCTAATCTACTACTCAATTTGATTTGCATAAAAATTAAAATATCACATAGAGGGATTCGGGGTTGCATACTGAAATGAACTCGAGCTATATTGTTTGTCTTCATGGGTCCTAGTAAGCCCAAATGATAGGATGTATAACTGCGAAAATAAAACTGTTTACCATTGTGATGTGAATCGCTAGCACTATAAAGAAGTTTTGGATTTTAAGGGTATAGTGTCCCCTTGCGAAGACGACTAAGCGCCAGCAATGATACTTTCCCATAGTAATGAGTTGGGAAAGGCTGGTAACAAAAACTGCAGATTCTGACTTGCCATACGCCAGATATAATTGATGGTGAAGGCTTTTGTATGAGCACAACTCGACAGCTTTTAACATTTAAACAAGCCGTATGAGATAAGCTTTAAATATATATATATATACCTTGAGTACTGTGATGATGCGGAACAAGCCCTTCTTCAGGCACATCAAGAAATCAACTTCCATGGCTTTGACAGCTATAAATTAAGACAGTTGTGTACACACTGATCTGAGCAACACAGTGATACTCATCCAGAGCGAGATGGTAAAATATAAAGTCTCTCATAGAAGCAAAGGTTACGATGGGAAGCTGTGAAGTTACACCGACTGAAATGGTTAGCACATGTATTGCGCATGCCTAGCCATCGCCTTTCTCGACCAGCGGGCAATGTTAGCTGACTAACATAGGATCAGGTTGGAAAAGAGAGGGCTGGTGGTGGTCAGACCAAAACATGGCTTCATCAGTCAATGAAATCCACGTAGGGGGGGGTTATGGACTTCCTGACTGCTTGGGGTTTTCGGCATGGTAAGAACCAATGGAGGCTGGAGACAATTGGTGATATAGCTGAAAATCCTTCTCACTAGCTGGCGCAGATGTATTCACCCTTTGCGATTTGTCATATCCAATAAAACTCTATTGTTCTTCCATTTTACTATTCTTTTTGCAAGGAGAAGTCGTTCAAAGTCATCTATAAAGTCAAAAGAAGCCTTCCAAAATCGACAAGCTTCCGTATACTTTGTATTGCTGAAGCCTTGGCGATTTGGATGGAAAAGCCTGAGTTATGCACACAGAAGAAACTTCTCCACCCCCTCCTACTACCGTGGGTTGAATTCCAAGTTTATTTGTCATCAACATTTTGTTATCAAATTTTTTGCAATTTTCGTATAACAATTTTTAGTAACTAACCCATTCAATCTTTTCACCTATTATCTAGTTTACTTTCATAATTGTCTCCAAACTCCTTCACTAGCATCTAATCTTTCTAAACATGTCCATATTACGTAACCCTACTCACATCTTACCAATCCTCACCCCACCTAGTTACAACTTTGAGTATTAATCACACATTTTAACTTCTTCATTATTTTGATGATGTAACTCTACTCACATCTTACCAATCCTCACCCCACCTAGTTACAACTTTGAGTATTAATCACACATTTTAACTTCTTCATTATTTTGATGATGTAACTCTACTCACATCTTACCAATCCTCACCCCACCTAGTTACAACTTTGAGTATTAATCACACATTTTAACTTCTTCATTATCTTGATGATATAATCAACAACCCACACTAACTGTTATTTTGATTTTGACAAACCTAATGTACACACACACACAAAATAATTGTATATATATTTGCGACTGTACAGCTAAGTGAATGAATTCGCCGGAAAGAGATTCTTCGCTGAACTAATTTGTTCTTATTTCAATGTCTTAATGGGTATATTTCGCGAATATTCTTTTTGCCTCATGCTTCTATTTATTCTCACTCTTCTCTTACTTTGTGTGGTACATGGAGATTGGCAACTCGAACTGGTGAACTTCTGTGCAAAATTTTATGCTGAAACTCGTCAGTCAGTCAAAGGTTATGATATTTTCTAACTTGCAAGCAAAACACTCGACTTATACGTATGCAGAGTTGTGAAAGCTTACGGAAAGATATCATTTGAACTAATGGTAACAAACAGCTTCCATAAAAGTGTTCAGTGTTATCACTTGTATCTGATTTTACAATATATGACTAAAGCGTCTTAGGAAGTATTTTTCTACTGGGAAAAAAAGTTGACTGGTTTATATATGTGTGAAACTTAGGCACTGTGGTAGTAAGTAATTCCGTATTAGTTTGTTTATTAGATATATCACACAGTGAAGCAGTATTATTTACTGGGTGACGTTTCGAATAAAATTTATTGTTCATAATCATGTAATCAATTATAATCACGCGACTTCGAAACTTCAGTTTTATAGTTTCCTTTGTTCTCTCCTATTTGTCGTCGTTGGGGTAGTAGAATTTTTCAGATGTCCGTGTGAACAGGTGTCGAATCCTTCCTATTACACGTATTTCCAGTTGATTCGATAAACAAAGCTTCCGTTATCAATCTCTTCCTCCACCCTGTTACATTAGATTTCAAAACTGTCATCTTATCCCATCCAGCTTATTGTATGGTTGTGTGTAATCGCATGTAGTGAGTGGTATAGCTGAACTATTTTCTAGATTTCTTATCTTATTCGGGTCAACTAATTTAGATTTTACCAGATTTTTGTGCTCCGCCAGTGTGACTGACTGCACCTGTTCTACTACTTTGATCTATGTATTTGACTTGACAATCATTTCAGACAGGGTATTAGATAAACGAAATTGTTTTGTTTTATTGGCTCCACTGACAGGATCCTTTAATCGACAAAGCTTGTTTCTAATTGAGTTTGTAGGTGGTTTGAATGCTAGCCGCTTTTATTCCAGCCTGCCTTGTTAAGAATTCTGCGTAAGGTTTCCGAGGTTCCTTCCTTGTATGGAATTACTACTGATGGTTTAAATTCCTTATTGTTGGTGTTGTCAAATCAACTGCAAACATGCGTAATAGGAATGATTCAACACCTGTTCACACGGACATCTGGAAAACTCTGCTACCCCAACGACGACAAATAGGAGAGGACACAGCAAAATATATAACTCAAGTTTCGAAGTCGTGTGATTATAATTGATCACATGATTATGAACAATAAATTTTGTTCGAAACCTCATCCAGTAAATAATACTGCTTCACTTTGTGATGTATCTAATAAAAAAACTAATATAGTGACTGGTTTAGTTTATAGCAGGAAAAAGGATGTACGCAGACTCTTTTTTCAGTTGAAAAAGTTGATAAATGTAAGGTGTTTATACATCTTTAGAAGAATATTTGAATAACTCCAGTCAAATGTGAATTACATCATATGACTGAACTGTAAAATACATAAGTAACGTTGAGCTGACAAGAAATGTTAGGAAGCGAATATAAGCCTTAATCGATTGAGATAGTTCAGATACACTACTCATACTGAGTAGTCGAATCGAGTCCCCAAAATATTGATCTTAATCACAGTTAATAACTGCAACGGCATAGAGTTCCGTACATTTAATCAGTACACCCACTTTCTTTTTCTTTGTCTGTCAAAGATGTTAGAAAAAAGTAGAAGTCTTTGTCAGTTTACAAAATGTTGATAATAATGATAAGACTTCATACGGCATGCTGCCAACTTTCAGAAGTAGGTATGACATTTAAGCTGTGTAACCATACTACGGAAAGATTTTACTTTTTAGGTGGAAGCATGATGGGCGACATGAATGCGAAACTGGGAGGAGACAATACAGGAAGAGAACTCACCATGGGTCGTGAGGCCCTCGGTGAAATGAACGAAAATGGCGAACTCTTCTCAGACTTCTGCGCCTTCAATGATTTGGTGATTGGTGGCAGTGTGTTCAAACACAGGGATATACACAAGGCAACATGGATTTCACCAGATGGACACACCAAAAACCAGATAGACTTCATTTCAATCTCAAGGAAGTAGAGAAGGAGCCTACTTGACACAAGATCGAGGAGAGGAGCAGATGTGGGTTCAGACCACTATCTAGTACAAGGGACTTTCAAGGTGAAGCTGAAAGCCTCGAGGATAGCTGGGGATAGGCCACAATGCAAGTTCAACACTCACAAACTGAAAGACACAACCACAAAGGACACTTTCACTGCAACTGTCAGAGCAAAGCAGGAAACACTACGTGGCACCACTGAGGAATCATCCGTGGAAGACCATTGGAACTCTCTGAAGGTAATTTTCAACGAAACGTGCTCAACGGTTTTAGGAAGAAAGAAGAAACAAGACAAGGAATGGCTCTCAACAGACACTTGGAAGCTAATAGAGGAGAGGAGAAAGGTGAAAGAAAAAATGATTCAATGTAAAGATGGACAAGAGAAAGAGACGCTGAACTCAACTTACACAGCACTGGACAAAGAAGTGAAGAAGAGTGCCAGGAAGGACAAAAGACAATTCTACGACAACCTGGCTACTGAAGCTGAGAAGGCAGCAGGCAAAAGGGACCTGAGGACACTATATCAGATAACCAAGTCTCTATCCGGGAAGAGATCAACACAAGTGAAACCTATAAAAGACAGCCAAGGGAACCCAATTACCAAAGAAGAAAGACAGATTAAACAATGGGCGGACCACTTCAAAGTACTCTTGAATCGACCACCACCTACAACCCGTCCAGAAATAGCAACAACAGCGCGTACACAACTGCAAGTTGACACCAATCCTCCAACGAAAGCTGAAGTCATGAATGCAATCAAGCTTCTGAAAGCTGGAAAAGCAGCTGGACCAGATGGAATACCCCCGGAAGCACTGAAAGCGGACCCAGAAACGACGGCAGATATGCTAACTCCATTATTGCAAAAGATCTGGAAAGAGGGAAAGGTGCCTACTGACTGGAGGA